ATCGAACCACGGACCTCTGGAATATGCCCACTTCGTGCTGACCACTATGCTACAAAGGCAGCAGAAATACCTTATATAACCCCCTTTAAAGGGCAACTAGGATTTTAGGGGGCCCAACTGCCAAATCCTGGGGTGTGGAGAATCATCATCCACCACCCTTTTAGTTTGGGCATCACTGTAGAGACATTAGGATATTTCGAAGCTGAAAAGATGAAAAATGAGTAACGCCTTTTCTGGGAATCGAACCATGGATCACTGGAATACACGCCCAGCGTGCTGACTCCTACACTACGAAGGCATGCTAAGAAGAAATACCTTATAAGATATCTCAATATAGTGATAGTAAACTTACATACTACATCAATATGAAAATTCTAAAATAAAATAATTTTTAGTTGTTGATGCTTATACACGTAAATTATGATAACTTTGAAATAATTACCAGATCTGCCTGCATCAAATGCATTAAATATTATTTGCAAATTACTGATTTCTATGTAATTACTAAACTCAGAATTCTTCTTGTTATCCAATTCCGTATTTCATTAACACTTTTCTTCAAACATTATATAATAAAGAGTTTATCTAGTTTATACAGATAATACAGTTTTTACAATTAAAAATTTAGCTTTGATGGAAAAATATTTCTTCTGAAATAATTAAAATTGGGGAGACCAAAATCTATTAACTAGAAGCTTTTTATTAATAAATCAAAATCTGACAATGAAAACATGAATATCACCAACATATCAATAAAAATAATAAAATTTAATTTATAAAGACATAGCAAAAATGCAACAAAATCAAACTTACTTTTGAATGTTTAGTAGGCTCAAAGCAAGCTTTCTTGCATATATTCCTTATCCATTGAAAATTGAGTTCACGCTCAGGATAGAAAGTTGAAAACAGCCACTGCGGGGCCATTTTTATAACTCACCCGACACATGACAACTGCACATTCATGTCATATTATATTATGATATTGCATGAAAACAGGAAACAATTAGTATTTTAGAAATCACGACATGCTATAAACACATTTTTGTCCACTAAGTATTACGAGGCTTTGAGCTTACTACAATAAGTGAGGTCCATGCCATGAAAACTGGTGACTTTAGAGCTTACCTTGTTTCAGTGGTCCAGATTTCTGTTGGGGGTGTTTGTAGTACTCGCTTAGGATTTTACTGAAATAAATCAAGCTTACTGGATTAAACTTTTCATGTATCATGTTACAGAAAAATTCTAGTCAATCTAAATGTATGAAAAATCCAATTCATTGTTGAAATGTGAAATGAAGAAGAAATTTGTGGTCTAAATTTATAAAAGGAGTAAACCTACTTTTTATCCAATTACATATTAAAAGCCTGCATTTAACATTATGTAAGATTCTAGGAAAAAACTGCAATATCAGATATAAAGCTGGCATATATTAATAAAGTATCTTATATGATTCTGAAATCTTGTTGACCATAAAATTTGGTAGAGATCCTCCTAAATTTGCACCATTTTGGCAGAAGTTAGTAGGAAATAATCACTTGTTATTTAGTTGAATAATCAAAAGTCAAATATTAACGGATATAGCATATTAAAGGTTTAAATCATTTGTTACAATTTTTCACACTGGACTGCCTTGTTTAACCATTTTCAAATAAAATCATATATCAAGTCCAACAGGGCACTGTTCTGGTTTCAAATTTTAGACACTGTTTTCAAAATGTGAAGGGATAAAATGGATAAGCAGTAATTAATTTATATCCTTTATAATAATTAAACCACCTTATCGAGAATTTATTGGATTTACATAAAACCAAGATAAAGATTTTATGATTTGTAGCGATGTGATGCTTATCCATTATTAGCACTAGAATTGCACTTGATGAGATGATCAGTTCTTGTGGTAGGCAGACTAAATGACTACCCTGGACTTTGAAATCTCTCATACATTCTTGTGCCATACTACTCCCTGCTTTTCTTTCTATAAGAAGTATCCAAATCCAAGTAAAAATTCTTGGAATAATACCATAGCTATAACATTTGGGAATTTAATCAGCATCAAAAAGACAGCCACATAATTCTATTTACATTTGACATGCTATAATCAAAATTTTGAGTCATAGTCCAATAAGTGATTTATTACCATTTTATAAGTTTGCTTAATATTTCAATAAAAGTATTCAAAAATTTTAAATACAGGTAGCCTTCCTACAGTACGGCATCCTGTAACATGGTTTTGCTATAACACGATTCATAAATTGTGAGAATCCTCCTACAACACAGTTTTTCTAGAACACGGTTTTGCTCTAACGTGATAAGAAAATTGCCCAAGCAAATCAAAGAAATTTTACGAACTCCACACAAAGTTTTTCCATATTGTGAAAAGCACCCATATAGTCATTTAACACATAAGAATCCTTGTTTCATAAGTTCTGCCAGTTGTTAACCAAGATCCGCTACCCGTATGAACAAATGTCCTCAGATGACCCGTAAGAACTAATGTATCCGGAGAACAATGAAGAAACCTCAATATCACAGAAGGTGAACAACGTGAGGTCACAATTAGTGCTCTAAAATGCACAACCAGCACGTTCGGCTTCCAAATTTGAATCCTTGTATCCATTACCTGAAAACAAAAGTGTCTCACGCTGCTGGTTGGCAGTCTGCGTCGAGCCATGGTGTGTTAAAGAATAACTTTTTGGTCTTAAAGATATTAAGTTTCAGGCCCCAAACATATCTGATAAAATTAAAAAAACAACGTTTAAGAGGAAATTCATTTCTCTAAAAGTAAAGATACATATCTTGGACCATCTTTTAAAAGGAGGAAAGTCATCTCACATTGGAAAAAGTTTTAATTGGAATGAAGAAAGAGTCCAGACTATTAAGAAAAATGAAAAAGAAATAAGAAGTGCAGTTGCTGCAGATCTTCAACATCCGCGAAATGTGCAGTTTGGCCCTGGGTGTGCCAATAATTGAGAAGATGGAAAAGGCACTCAACATTTGGATTGATGATAGCTGTCAAAAAAGAATTTTGTTGGATGGTAATATCATTAAACAAAAAGCACTCAAAATTTTCAAACACCTCAAAGAACATGGAAAACCCTCTGTCAATCCAGTTTTCTGGTAAGAAAGGGTTGGTTCAAAAATTTCAAAAATTGCAATTCATAGCATAAGAATTAAAGGAGAATCTGCATTGGCTGATTATGAAGCTGCTAGAACGTTTCCTGAAAAAGTTCAAAATATTATAGAAGAACAAGGATACACAGCAGTTCCAAGTTTTCGATGCCGACAAAACTGGGCTTTCGCCGAAAAAAATGCCCAATAGAACCTTTAAATCGAAAATAGAAAAAACTGCATCCTGATTTAAGGTGTCTAAAAATTGTCTAATGCCACTTTTGTGCAGTATTATTTTGGACTTTATGACAAAATCCTTGTTAGTTTATAGATCTTTAAATCCTTGTGCACTTAAAGGAGTAACCTTACCGGTATATTGGAAAGCAAATCCAAGAGCTTAGGTAGCTGGGAATATATTTAAAGATTGGTTTTTAAAGTGTTTGGTGCCAGATGCTGAACATTATTTAAAGCAGAAAAATTTGAGCTTCAAGGTGTTTAATACTATTAGATAATGCTCCATGATACCCACAAGATTTGAATCATCCCAATGTCAAAGTACTGTTCCTACCACCTAACACTACTTCGTTACTCCAATCATTGGATCAAGGTATTATTTATACCTTTGAAACATATTACATAAAAAGAGCATTACAGTAAATTTTAGACGTAGCTAATTCAAAATCAATTAATGTAATAGAAACTTGGAAGACATTTTTAATCAAGAACTGAATCGACATCGTATCTTTGTCGCTGTATAGAAGATATGGCCCTCTTCAGTTGAAACAGAAAACTGCGAATCATGAGAAAATTAAATTGGTGGCATATTAGAACTTGCTAAATCAATTGGAGGCAAATGATTTGTGAACATGGCTATTGAGGACGTTCAAGATTTTATTAGTGGAAGAAGAAATTGATGAAGATTTGATAGAAATGGCATCTGAAGCTGTACATCAAATCGCTTCTGAGGACACTACCACTGATGAAGATTACAAAGTTAATAATTTAACATTACAAAAATTAAAAGAAGGCCTATGCTTAGCTGAAAATCTTAAGTTAATTTTCTTGATTGGAGACCCTTCTGCTGAAATAAGCCGAAAATTCAAAAGAGAGCTGCAAAACTGTCCAGCTCTATATTGAGAAATTTAATGACCCGATAAGAAGTAGTAAGCAAAATAAAATGACAGGTTTTTAAAAAGGGAAGAAAATGCCAGAACTTTAAATGAAGAAAGAAATTCTGCAAGTGAAAGTGATCTCATTCCACCAAAAGAACGTTCTCTTTTGATTATACTGAGCAATGACAATGAAGAAATTTAGTAAACTAAAGTTTTGTTAAATAAAAATATGTAACATTTTTTGTTTTCTGTTGTACATAGATATATATTTTTAATAAAAATTAAGTTGTTTATGTATATTATGTATATACCTGTCCTCCAACTATTTGAGCTGGTTAGTTAAATGCCAGATAGTCACACTTTTACTGTACTGCATGATATGCTCTTCTTGTGTTCATCGAATGATCCCATCAAATGCTACCATTGGCACTAACATCTAAATTATTTACATAATTTTTCAAATAATATTTGCATGAAGAATTTAGGACTGCTATTCAAATTTTTATGGATGCATATACATATATATTGCAAGAATGTACTACATATAATTAATGTAGTACAATATACAAATCAAATGAAAACTATCTAATAAAATAATATGCATCATTCAAAGACATAAAATAATAAATTTAAGAGAAATGAGCTTTGTGTCTAATATGCTAATTTTCCAAGCTTTAAAACCATTCATCAGATTCATGCTTAATTGTTTTTTGATAATAATTCTATCGCAAGTAATTTTATAACTATTTTGAATTTTACAACAAATAAAACAGTAATTACCATGATTAAATTGATTATCCTTAGCAAAACTCACAAATGACTTGTTTTTTAAACTCTTCAATTTCACTGCTCTTGTTAAAGGATCTTTTCTAATAAAGGCTGGGTTGTCAGTAAAAATACTTTTAGCGCTGTCGTCAAGGAACTGAGCAACTTCATCTGTCAGCTCACTAGAATATATGTTGGGATGACAATACAACAGTTGGTTACCTGAAATAACATAGAATGAGCAAAAATTAGTAATTAAATATATCTACAGATAATTATCAAATTTTAATTACATGCTTACAAATACTTCACACACACACACATATCAATCATCATCATCATATAATCTTAAAGCACTTAATTTGTTCTTAATTAGGTGATTGTACTTTTTTTCAGACCTAAAACAGTACATATTTGTTCTTTATATGTTTGCTATGTATTATTTTTGATTAATTATTTTTTATTAATTATTATATTATAATTAATTAATTATTTTTTTCCAAACTTTAGATTTGTAACCCTTGATGAGGTATATGGAAATTATTTTGATAATGTTATATGAAAATATATAATTATCACACAGTTAACTTTCTAATTATGTGTATGGAAATAAATAAATAATAATTGCATAATATAATAATAATATTTAATCTAATAGCACATAGATCACAATTAATCCACTACATAAGTAAGAAGTAGCACTGCCTTCTATGAATGAGAAGCATAACCTAATAACAATGTTTTCCATTAACTACTACTTTTTCTTGTCTCTTTGTCAAAAATGTGCTGTTAATGTCCTTCTAAAAAATCTATTACTATGTCCAAACCTACTTGTGAGTGTATTCATAAATTCTGTCAGTATAATGAATCTTTAATAATAATTATAATATGTGTGAAAAATGATAACTATATATATGTGTGCTACAATTCTGCCAATTTTTTTCTCTTTCATCAAAATATAAAGGTGCTATAGTGCTTATCCAGAGTTATTAAGCAAGACAACTAGACTGTAAGGATAAGTGAAATTGATCCAGCAATTCCACATAATGTGATACTGATTTTGAACTATAACAAATGTTCCCAAATAAAAAACAAAGTTTATAAAAAAAAGTTTCAGCAGAGGGAACAAAATGATTTTCCAAATGCAAAATTTAATTTTTATATAGTTTTTTAATATTTAATGTATGTTTTATATATTGATTAATTATTATATTATTTTATACAATTTATATTTATTTAAATTTTTATATATTCATTTTTACTGTTCATTTGGCTTTAATAAATAAAAAAAAAGGAAAGTTTCATATCAATGCATCCAAAATTTGTGAAGATATTACTAATTAGTGACTTCAATAGGCCAACTACAAAATTTATTATGAATCCTGTTTTATCCAACATCAAATTATTAAATACTATAATGTGCACCTTTTGTTTTGATGTTTCTTCTTAAATCTGCTCAAAATTTGCTTGCATCACTTAATAGAACTGGAAACAATTTTGATAATCCTCAAATTAGATCTCTAATACCTCTACAAATTTTGTATGGAAATTTTTTAATTTAGTAAACATTTTACTAACTAGATTTTTATCAGATCATAAAAAAAGCCAAGTCTTTGATTTAAAAAAATCTTTCACATCATCAGTGCTGAAACTATTTTCATAACATTCTTTACATTGCTTTGAGAAACTTTGAAAATAAAGTCTATGATATTTTTTAAGACAATAAAACCATTTTTTCAAATACAGTGTGTGTTTGAAATGTAGCATTTAATTATACATTTAATAATTTTGGAATTTAATATACTATTATAATATTATTATATTATAATTAATAAAATATTATAATGGGAATAAATTTAATAATTTATTTAACAATGCAGCATTTCTTTGTTTTAAATATTTACTAACATATTATAATTACACCACTAATATGCAGTGTACACATTAGTTTACCTAAATGCAGTTAACTCATTTTTTTAATAATATCATATTTAATATAATTAAAAGCATTCTGAAGTTACTCTTCCTTATATACAAATCATAATTATATAATAATTCTTCAGTTACTTGAACAAGACTTACTCATTAAGCATACATTTGTGAAATGTTAATAGATACAAGGGGTAAATACTTACCCCAAATTAAATGTTATAAAAATCACATACTGATTTGCTTATAAACAAACAATAATTTTATAAGTACCAGAAGAATCTACTTTAGTACTTAAAATAAAAATGACTTGTAATATTATACAAATTGATGCATTTATTTAAACTTTATTTCATTTTACTTTCTTCTATAATTTGTAAGCGAATTATTTTGGAATTCATTTAATTGCATATATCTGACACAAAATATTTATTTTGCCATGCACTAAACACTTTGAAAAATGTTAAGATGTTTGATACAGAAATGCAAAAAGGGAGATAAAATTGCTGTCAAATCAATAAATTATCCCCACAAATGGCAGATGAGAGCATACCGAAAACTCTTTTCAATTACACCATCTGGTAAATTATTTTGAAAAATACACTGATAGCTGAAAGCATTTGGTAATGGATTCATTTGTTTAGTCAAAATTCTTTCCAGCTGAAGTAGTTTTTATCTTTACATATGTGCTTATGAGTTAGACAAGCTCTTGCACTTGCTTATATTTGTAAACCTAATCAATAAAGTTTTTCTTTAAACCTTCATTTATTTTTTTAAGCTATAAGTGTATTTGAAAATTGTGAAGAATATGCAATACTCTCTTTTATGTGTTTAAAACACATAAAAGAAAAAATTTATTTACTACATTTACTACTAGGATTTAATTCAGCTACAGCATAAGTTTTCTAACTTAAGTTTTTGAACTTAATTAGGCAAAACAAGTACCTTTTTCTGTATATGTTTAACAGAAGTTAAATAAAAGTTTTGAATCATTTCATTGCAATATTGTATTAATTTATCAAGATAGACACATATTCAGTTTCTGAAATCAGGATTATCAATATACACAATTTCTGATGTTTTATTACACATATATTAATTATTACTCAATTTAAATAAAATAATTAATGCAAATTTTATATTAAAATCATATAACAAAATAATTGAAGCACTACTTGTTTAAGAAAATTATTAAGTTTCAATTATGAGAATTTTTTTAATCGTATTCTAGCAAGATTCAGTATGAAAAATATAATAAAATATATTTGTCATATATGAAGAAAGATGCTTTATAATGACCAGGTAATTTATATGTAAAATTTAAGCAGTACACAGGATGATATATAAATGATAATATAAGCAAAATATAATAAATATTACTCAGTTATTTAACAAAATTTACTTTAACATGCATGTTCATCAGGTCTTTAAAATAATGTTTTTTTTAATTAATATTTAAACTGTATACATTTTTGTAAATTTGATGCAATATCAATTTAATATTTGAGAGTAAATTCATAAATTTTAAAATGCTTTCTAAAATTTAAAATTATTATGAATAAGTATTATTAAAGCAACTTTAAACTTGATTAATAATATAATTTCATAACAATCATACATCAGTTCATTTTAATATTTAATCAGTATCACACACACATTTATTTAAAGAAACATGATTTTTTTTAAATATAAATATGAAGTATATATATCCACACACATATACATATGTATAAAATTTAAAAAGAAATTTTTCTTTAAAATATTAAAAACAATTTTATTCAAAAAATATCATTAGTCATTTAACACAACACCTTGCAGATTTTTATAAAAAAATTCTAACATATATATAGATAGATAGTTATACTAACATATTTCATTTAAAGTTTTTGTATGGAATGTCACGCACAGGATACTTTGGCCATTAACCATAGCATTTTCTGGAAACTCAAACTTATTTTCGTCACCAAACCTTGGTATGCTGTGGATTAACCAAAAGCCAGAGAATGCATCAAAAGCTAAAACACCTAGTAAGAAAGAAAAGTGGTAAAAAGGTATTAGAATAATTTAGGTCATGGCAAAGCACTCAAGTGCCTCAGTGAAGATAATAAATGAAATTAAATAAGAGAAAATTTTAGAAAATCTTGCCTTTCAGGTGACCAACAGCAGTTCCAAAATAACCTTCTGGAGGATCATCATTATAAAACAAATAGGAAGCTTCCTAAAATTAGATAAGCACATTAAATGGTCAAAATTTGATGCTTTATCACTTATCCATTAGCAGCTTAAGATCTGAATTTAATAAAACAAATCTCACATGGCCCAAATTTAACTTATGGAAGAGAAAAAATAACTTTATACCTATACATCTAAAAATGGTACTTACATATTAGTGCAAGCACTTTGCTTCAGTCTGGCAAATTTTTACAGGAAAAAAAAAAAAAAAGAATGGCAACTTATAATTAAAAATATATATATACTACATATTATACATTAGTTTTATTTTATCTTTTACCTTCTAATTAGGCATTCATTTTGAAAATCAGTCAGTGAACCTGCTGACATTGGTGCATTCTAAAAATCTACCAAGGCAGTCTACTAAGCCAGTTGCATTGATACAAAAGCAGCCTGGAACTTAGCTATTGCTAATTATAAGATGTATTTGTTGAAGAAAGCATCATCATAGGACAGCAAATTAGGTAAATGTTCAAAGGAAATGCAAAATGACATTATGATTTTTAAGTAAACAATATAATGAAATAAGAAATTAAACACACAAAATGAAAAAATAATAATAATAATAATAATAATAATAATAATAAAATTCCCCCCCCCCAAAAAAAAGTTTTAATTTTAAAGAGAAAGTAAGATAGACAAAGAGAAAGCAGAAGATAATGCTACAAAACTTGTAAATGTAACATAAACTATTGGGAAAAACATTAATTAAGTGAAAATGCAGCAAAAATGGAGAAAACAGATGAATGAAAAGAAGAACTCTGGATTTAATTGTAATAAATGGATTAGTGGCAAAATTACATGATGTCTATACAAAACTTCTCTAGAAAGTACAACTTTGAAGAGGATCCCAATGGATGCAGATAAATTCACACTTGTAGGCGGGGCCCAAAATTACCTAAACTGAACTTCTAAGATAGACTATCTTCTAATATTTAATTAGAATAATAAGTTGCTAACTGACTCTAAAGCATGATAAGCTGTAATCAAATTGAAGTTAATAAATTTTCTTATAAATTAATGGATTAAAGTATATTTCATGTAAAGATAAATAAGAACAACTTAAAAAAATAATAAAATGAAATATATTTATAATGAGTGTTTTATATATCTATGTGCATTTAGTATGGTCATTTAGTCTACTTGTTTTACAGTCAGAAGCATGGTCATTTGCGAGGCAATGAGCATTATGCAGTTTTTTTTTTTTTTTTTTTTTTTTTTTTTTTTTTCATTACTATATGCTTTATTTTCTATTCTGCAGGTTCTATTATTTTATTCTGTTTTCTTTCATTTTTAATATTAAACCACTGACCATTTCATTATATCTTCTTCAAAAACTTTGTCAAGGAGGCAACAATGCATAACTAATATTACATCCAGAATAATGGGAAGTGCACAAAATTTTTTTATCCTTTATAACAGTGGACTCAGAGAGTGGCAGCCCATGGGCCAAAGCAATTTTATGAGGCCTATGAGCACATTTCCATTATGTATTTGTTGCAAATACGAATGTTGCAAAGACTTCAGGATTTTAGTTATTTGAAGTCTAAGTTTATATTACTTTCACTTCCATTACAAAAACATGAATAATATGCGAAAAAAATCTATGAATAATTAATTAATTTCCAATATGATATAAATCTGATTTTATTAAGATCCGAAGATATAGATTTGATTAACCTTTATTCCTACTTGTTAAAAAAAAAATAAGCTCACTTATGAATTTTTGCACTAAGAATGATAATTTATCTGTAAACAGCCTTTTTCACAGTTGAAAATTAAAACGAAAAGAACCTGACTGATCAGTATCAAGAACCCGTGATGAAGATAATTTCTAGTAATTTCTCTTCAAGATTACAAATGTTACCAGAATCAAAACTTAATCAAGTGTCAAGCTGTAGTAAGAAATTTATAATTAAGACACAAAAACACGCCGAATAAATACTAATTCTGAAGTCAAACAACAAAAATCAGCGTTATATTTTCAAAATTTTCACAGGACTAGTTTCGATGGTTCTACCGAACCACCATCCTCAGCTGCAAAACCGCAAATGAACAAGATAGGAAATAATGATTAGATAAGATAAGAAAGCCTGGACAAGAATAAGCATAGCTATTGACAGGGGCTTTTCACCCAATATTATTAATCAAGCATCAATTCCATCTCAACACACTAAAAGGCACACTCTTGTTTTAGGAGATTATAAAAATTCAGTTGTCATTCCCTTCTTTCCATCAATTAGCTATAAAGTTGCACACATTTTGCAGAAATTTAACTTTTGGGTTGTTTATTTTCCCATCAATAAAATTCCGAATTCATTACTCAAGGACCCCATTTCGGATATGAATTCTTGGGGTTTTTATAGGAATCCTTGCCAGTATGGTTTGATTTACATTGGCCAAACTAGGAGAGCCTTAAAATTTCTTGTCAAGGAACATGAGGCATATGTTAGAAAAAAGGAAACACAGAAATCTTCTTTTGCTCAACATTGTTGGTCCGAAAATCACACTTTCAATTTTTCTGCTGGAAAATTATTCAAAAAACATCTTCCACTGGAGAACTGAATTTTCTAGAGGCATTTCACATTCAAAAAATCTTTCTGTTCTAGTTAACGATCCTAATTCCAATCCATCTTTGCCTTTGGACTTTAAAGAAATTATGTTTTAGTTCTTGTTTCACCAACAGACGGTGCCACTTGCTTATTCTTGTCCAGGCTTTCTTATCTTATCTAATCATTATTTCCTATCTTGTTCATTTGCGGTTTTGCAGCTGAGGATGGTGGTTCGGTAAAACCATCGAAACTAGTCCTGTGAAAATTTTGAAAATATAACACTGATTTTTGTTGTTTGACTTCGGAATTAAAACTTATAATTATTTACATATGTAAGCATTTTTATTTATGCATCGAGGAAAACCTGAATTAATAAGATAAAGAAACTATGTCATTATGATTTATTCTCAAGTTTTATCCTACTTAATAAACTTGCTCTGAAAACTTGGAAATTTTTAAAAATTTATCTATTTTTAGTTTAAATTGAAGTAAGTTACTTAATGATTAATTAAACATGTATGAATAATTTGAAAGGAATGTCAGTGTAATAATTTAATATTTAGTTATCAATATATTTGAATTACAAAGTGAAAACAACAAAAAATGTGTCACAGGTACCAAACTTAAGGTTTCAAATTGAAAACAGATATAAATTTGAATTTTTCCTTCGTGATATTAATATTATTTACATAGATTTTGATAAATATTTAGTAAGTGGAATTAAAATAATTTTTAATAATTTGTCTCATTTTGCTATTGAAATTCTGGATTTTTTTTATTTTGGAGGGGAGGGCAGTTCTGACCCATCAGCTGTTTTTAGATTATACATTTGGCCCATATGCAATTAGAATCTGAGACAATTGATTTATGGAATTGAACCTAAGTCTAATGATGTAATAATTGATCTGCATTAATTACCATAACATAATTTTTTACCAAATAATACTCATTTCTTATGTTTCTTTTCAAATATTCTTGGGAGAAAAAGCTGAAAGTAATTTTTTATTATCTGCACCCCCATTGAAATGGCATGAAAAAGTGTTGATCAACCATCAGGCCCGCACCTGATGGTTGATCACATCCATCAGACAAGAGACACCAGTGACAGCAGACCATCAGAACAATAGGTGCAAGGTCGTGCGGCGCACAGCAGCGCCAAGTCAAAATGTGCCATGCACTCATTAAAATAAGCAGTCTGTCTTGCTGCCTACGAACAGGAAAATTCTTGTCTTATTTGAACACACCCACGGGGCTCGACTCAAGTAAAACATGGGAAATAGAAGCTCTGTTTGGTACACTATGAGTACAAACTTTCTGCAAGTAGTTATTCCTATCTATTACTGTTTTATTTGCCGTATTCAGCTGGCCATAACCTGCCCATTTAATACACACTTATTTTGATGTAAGGATTGCATATCTTTGAAAATAACCCATAGCTTGCTGTTCTGTAGAAGGTAGGTCCCAAATTTCAGTAAGTTCTTTTTTTCAAAATGAAGAAAAAAAAATTAACAATAAAGTTAAATTTTATAATTATTCATAAAAAAAATGGCTTATCAAGAATCAAACATCAAATAAATGCACAGATGCTATGTATTTGAAGTGAGCAAATAAATAGTGGCACACATTCTTCTTTAAATACAACTATTAACTTATCAATATTGTTTTCATTATATACCTAGCTTTTCCTTGAATCTCCAGTCCTGAGATATTTGAGGTCTTTCTGTTATGAGACTTATTGTTTCAATGCAGTAAATTATTGTCTGCTCTTTTCTTAAATAGTAATAAATCAAATTTTTATGCTTATAATCTTAGAAGATGGCCCAAATGCAGAAGATGATAAGCATATTTTTATTAAATGGCTTCCAAGAAAAATATAATTAATGGTATAATCGCTGGAAACAATGTGTAAATGCAAGAAAGAGATCCACATATGAAAATGATGCAGACCAGATTTATTAAATTTAAGTTTTTAAAATTTGGCTGGCTTCCCTTTTTGATCATGCTAATGTTAGCAATAAATATTAACCTGCTAAATATAATGTATCTACAAGCAACAAATATATTTAATTTCAGCTAAAAAGCTCACTAAATATTTAAGAATATGGACAGTTTACAAAAGATAAAATAAGAAAATGCAATTTCTAGTTAATGTAAAATAAAGGAAAGTAAACTGCAATACTCAATACCTTTTTCTTTGCATTAAAGTCTTCCAGAGTATTTTCTAATAAAGAGCCATCTGTTACACTTTTTGAAGACAATTTCCAGTTCCCTGGTTTTGAAGAAGTTATATATGCATAAGCAGTACCTTCACCTAGATTTGTACCTTCTCGTTCATCTGATATTTTTGGTATTTTGTACATCACATACCTACAGAAAATAATTATAAATAACTAGATTAATAATACTAAAATAAATTATATATAAGCATTAGCATTTGACATGATTAATAAAACAGATTTAAACTAAAAAAGATATAATGATGGTCATTTACCTCGGCACGAGCAAAAGAACTGAAAAGAAACACTAAAAGAATTAATTGAATTCAATTATCTAATAAAATATATTTAGTTTTTAAACAAAATATGACAATGGCTATTACTTTAGATCTACTGTTTCAATAAATTTAATTAAGGTTTATTCTCCTTCATACTTTTATTATCAGCCATAAAGCTTATTTTAAAATTTAAATATTTGCACAATTACCATTCACTTGATAATATTCTTATCTATACTACTCACTATATGATATGCTTACATGTATAATATAAATATATAACATGTCTGCAGTATTTTATTAATGAAAATAAGTTGCAAAATTTTTTTACATACCAAAATTTTACTTGTGTTACATATACATACCATTTTGAAATACTACTGCGGATCTTAAAATATGACCAATCTCATAAGAAACTGCACTTTGAAAATAAAATAACACTTTTCTCATACTACATTAAAAATTAGGTATACTGTAAAACAAAATAAACCATAAAAATTTTAGAAATTAAAGAAAAAAAAAAAAAAAAACTAAATGTGTTATAACACTGAATGCACATCACGATAAATATTAATGTAGGCTAAAACTTTTAATATCTTACAAAAAGTAACAGACATTTTCATTGATACATTTAACCTGGAGAATAGAAATGTATATATACTCAAAGAATTATAAACACTCTAAACATATAAATAACTGTAACCATAATATTAAAAGTTAGGGAATCTTACAATGCCCCTCCCCTAAAAAAGGTATTTTATTCTATGGAACAATACTAATGTTTCACAGTATACAAAATTCAACATAAAATAACTCAGTACTCATTTTATGTCGAATTTTGTATTCTTTAAGTTCGATAAACACCTCGTTCGATTCGTAGAAGTTTTATCTAAATAAAAAAAAAAAAATAACTCGTAGTTGTAAAATGCACAAATATCGAATTTTGATTTTAAAAATAAGTTTACCAATCAACATCTCGATTTTTGTCATCTTTACATGAGAGTTTTCCGAAACAAAACTGAACGTTAATGTTTAAGAATATAACAGCACACCAACAAAAATTTAAGAATTTCATTGTAGAAATTTAGAAGTTTATCATTCATCTAAATGCAGTCCAAAAATGTCACATAAACTCTGAAAATGTCTTCCTATTTATAACAATAACGAAAACAAACTACATGTGATAAAGTTTCTGTCACTCCATTGTTGTGAAAAGATCTAACCAATGAATGCAAAGAATTCGTTGTCATGACGACTGCGTACTTAATCTCTGAGTCAACACTGAAAATGCTCTTTCGTTAAATGACGCCTTTGTGCGCCGAAAATTTCGCCAAACTGATTTTCCTTCCCGACCAGTTTGAACAGATTGCGATTTTAAAATTTAACGATTATCTCTTTGTCTTTTCCCAATAAAACATATGGAAGCACTTCCGTAGAGAACCCGGTAAATCTAAACATCGCCAACTTTGGCGATAATAGTCTAACTTGGTAACCCTTCGGATTTATCCCATTGGCTTATTCGAAGTTTGCAACCATTCCTCTTGCGTTTATTTTGTTGAATTAAGACTGTCGTTGTTCGCATTTGCAGATTTTTATTATTCTTCTCCTCTTATTTATTATTATTTTTTCTGAATTTTTTAACAACGAATAGATAGAAATATTTTCGTAGATAGATGCCGGTTCTCGGTTCGGGATGAAAGGAGGGGTGAATGCTAATTTGTAACACGGCTGTTCACGTTGTGTTCTTAATTATTAACAGCTCTAAGAACCATGAGTCTAAAATAATTTGTTTTCGTAGACCGCAAAAATGTGCATGTGCATTTTAAATAATTAAGTAATGCTTTTATTTTTATTATTGGTTATTGTCATCTAAAATTATGAGAATAAACAATTTTTATGGCGTAAAATTTTAACAAGATAATATATTGTTAATGCTTTTCTAACAGTAACCTTTCAGAGGATGGCAGGTGTGGCATAAATAGATGATTAAATTGAAATAAAAAAATATTGATTATCTAAGATGACAGAATAGTTTGATGCATCGCCATGGTCATCAAAATTAGCAAACAACTGCTGGTGTAAGGAATATATTGTTTTCTGTGTTAACTGGAATTTAAGACAAATTTTTTTCGTATATCACGTTTAAACGGTTAATTTCAGTATATTAATACTAATTTATATTTTTAAATGAATTTTTTATTTCCGTTATAAATGCTTATATATTGTCTTATGCTTAATAATATATTCTTTTCTGTGCTAACTTGAATTTAATACAAATTTATTTTCGTATATCACGTTTAACCCTTTAGTTTTACATCTACATGCATATTATCTGTGAATTTTTACTACCATATGCTTAATATATTGTTTTATTTGCTAACTTGAATTTACATGCACTAAAAATCACGTTTACAAAATATCACGTTTACGGCTCGGCTCATCCTCGATGAACCGCGAGCTTGGCGAATAAGAATGCTACGGCGCCAACGGGTTCTTTCCCGAAGCGCCAACGGGTTCTCTGCGGATGAAAACCCAAACATATGTTTATTTTAAAGTTATTAAATAAAACAATATGTAATGAAAAAAATTAGAACTGAAATTTATTACAGTTTTCAACAGAAAGCATGGTTATCAAAATGAAATGTGTAAGTATATAACAAGTTAATAATACTTGAATGCGTTCAACTGTTATCATGAAAAGGCAAAATATCATCTTGGACATTTCTGCCTTTTAAAAGAACTGATTTAATTTCAAGGGGCGGGATAATAAGATAATCTTCAGAAGCGTTGACTGAGTTAATTAAGGATATGACGAAGCACTCGAGGGCTAGTTGCCTACGGAAGGAGATGCCCTCTTGGAAGAACTTTAAGGGACGCTCTTCGACGAGCTTTAAGGGACTCATATATATATATATATATATATATATATATATATATATATATATATATGTTACACGTCAGGAAAACCACGAAAACTCTTATGCAACCAGTCTCTTCATTGGGATTAGTCCATTACTCGAACTACCAGGGGTGCTGAAAGATTTTACTGCTTGGTCTCCAGTGTTTCGTCTTCAGGGCAACATAGTCTTTGAAGGAGATTGAGGATTGTTATGCCCAGAGACGGTTTAAGTAACTTCGGGGGCCTCCCGCAAGATGAAATGTAGGTTGTTCCTAACAGGGTCCCCTTTTTAAACTGCATTTTCTCTAGTATTGCCATTAATCTTTTTATTTCGAAATAAAAACTGTATTCACTCTCTTTATATATTTTGTATATTAACAGTTTTCAAAATTATGTAATTTTCAACAGTCAAATAGGATAAAAGCGTAGTATAAAACTAAGCGACACTTTTTCTTTCTGTATAGCGTTCATCCTTACCTCAAAATAAAATTGCTTTTTTAAGTTACTGCATATGGTATCACTGAGTTGATGAATGATGACGCTTAAAGATGTAATTAATTTGTCTGCTTTTTTAGCTGTTTATTTTCTTTTTCTTTTTTCTCCCCCCCCCCCAAAAAAAAAATTTTTTTTTAAAGCTTTTTCAAATTTACGTGGACTGTTCTATAACGCTTAGCGTTACATTTATTAAGTTTCATTGTAATATCAAACTGCACGTATTCCTGTTCAATTATTTTATTAACTTTATAAATATGAATATTTTATCAGACCGTAAGATATAAAGAAAATCTAAACACTGACTTCTTTTAACCAAATAGATGTCTCATTGAAAGAGATGGAATCCCTTTTAAAATGTCCTTGGTCTCAAGGGTCACTTTAAAATACTGGCGAGCCTAAAATCTTCTCAGGAGACTTGGCAGTGAGGAAAGAGGAGTGAGAGACCCTCGATTCTGTCCTCCACCAAAATTCGAACGAAGCTTTCGCCTTTCTCACAATTGTTAAAAATGTGTTACGGGGACTTAAATTAAATCATGAATAACAAAATTTTAAACTTTGAAAAAGAAATTAAGTTAAAAGCAAGTAATTATTGCTATTGATCAGAAATTAGTTGACTTTTCAAGGGGAACAAACCAACTCCCGTTCAATGAACAATAATAAATAAATACGAAGGTGTTTCGCCTTTTACTTAAGTAAGAATGGTGATGCCGAACTAGCAAATTGAGTTAGGCCAAATAGTTCCGTGAAGTGAAGGTATTTAGAATCAAAGTAAAGTACCAAAGAACTCATTCTGAATTAAGCATTTTCGCTAATACAAATTTTTAGTGAAAAGCAATTTATGTAGTAAAATTCATAAAATACTTTAGTAATTGTCCCCCGACACCCTCGTTTTTATGCATGTTAATTCAAAACTATTTGTATAAAAATCAAACAATGGTAATCTTAATTGAAATTATGAAATAGAGCTCAAAGTAATTGAAAGAAATATTAAAAAATTAAGAAACATAATGTTATCTTTGCAAAAACCAATCAAATAATAAAAATTGAAATATTAATATACATATATAAGAAAAAATCTGATGTGTACACCACATGACTTCCTTGTATTGAAATATTAAATTATACGCATTTTTTCTTGCCTTTCATTTAAAATTATTGGATTGAATTAAATCTACTTCGCCGACAGCGCATAAACCACAATAGAATAAATGCATTCTTTAAAATTCACTCTAGTATTTGTTTACCATAGCGACACTCTGGCGCTAGATTCACTTAACAGTATTAATAATTACATAACAGTTAATTTATATAATAATTTTATAACGGAAACTAAGTTAACTGTTATATAATCCAATAATTATATAAACAGTTAACTTACATATTTTCGTTCATATTATAACTCATAATGCACAAAATTTATATCATTTAAAGAATAGAATTATCTAATCGTTGCCACATGTTCTATTCAAATACTATAATAAAGCTAGAATGATGTATAAAAGAAATTAAGCAAACAAAACAAAAAAGAAACAGTTTTTCACAGACGATTGAGTATTTCTCATTCAATTAATTCAGTTCTCACTTCGCGAGAAGGCAAACATACATAAAAACTCAAAATATCTATATTAAAAATTACGAAGTAAATCTTAAACGCTTATTTCCTCGAAAAAATTCCAGAAAGGATTAAGCATGATTTAATTCGCAATAATAAATGAAGGCCTTATCTTTGTTGTTGGGAAGCTAAGTTTCTCTAGATTAGGCAACAAATCCACTAGTCTCCTGTTTCAAATGTAAACATCAATGGCCCCATGTTATTTAAAATTTAGGCTTAGCGGCACTTAAACAACTTTAAAATTGCTTGATAATTCTAAAAATATTGCACACAGATTTACTAAAGGCATAAAATCCTTAACCGGAAGATAAAAACAACATAATTCAATCATTTTTAAAGCAAAAAATGTAGAATTTACCAAACATATAAGAGTAAAGAACTGAGATCACTGAGCCGGGGTAACAGAGCGGATATATTTACAGTTTCTATTTCAATAAAATATATAAATATACGGCTTAAAAATATATTTATATATATTATATTTGGTGCGGCCGATTGCAACCAAAATACGAGGTGCACATCTACATGTTATAGGTCCTATATACAAAATTTCAACGTTCTGAGGCTACTCGTTTTTGAGTTATAAGCGAGATACGTTCGTACAGACGCCACGAAAAATTCTCTTCAGAATTAATTTTAAAGCAGTTTTATACTTTTTTTGAAGGAAAAGAGTATTTATTCTGTCCTTACGCACAGATATCACGCAAAAACATCGTTAAATTGGATTCGATAGCGGTCAAAATGGATATTTTCGTTGAAATATGCTGCCTGAAACTTTTCGTGATTACAATAATTCCTTTTTACTTCTCACAAGAATGTAAAAAAGGGAATGTACACTGCTAAAAAAAAAAATGGGACAGTGCTATATCTCCCGTTCTACTGGGCCGATTGACAAAATTCAAACTGCGTTTTTCATTTCTCGAAAGCGCGACTTAGGATATATATTAGATTTATATATAGCACTATTCTAACATAGGTATTTTGACACAAAATCGGACTTTTTCTGAAATAACATACTTTTTTTTTTTTTTTTTTTTCCATATTTCGATTCTACGACTCAAATTATGCCAGAATACCAAGTTTTGTAAAAATCGTACAAGAACTTTTTAAAATATTACCTCTCAAAATTTTAGCTCCTATATGTTAATTGAATTTGGCAAATATTTATTAATATCTTTCTTTATTAAACTTTTATTATTTTTCCTTTCACATTTCGAAATTTAGGTTCATTCCAAATAAAATTTATCCATT